GTGTCCTTACATGGTGGAGGAGCAGATGAGAATGAACCTGCTCCCTTAAACCCTTTCATGAGGGCCCTGATCCCGTCCACGAGGACTCTGACCTCATGGCTTAATCACCTCTACAGGCCCCATCTTCTAACATTATCACATTGGCCAGTAAGTTTCGACATAATGAATCTGGGGGACACGTCCAGACCTTAGCACTCACTGTCATTCCTCTTTCAGCTCTGTGATCCTTTGAATCTTGGGCTTCTTTTAATTTAGCTGCCTTCTCATCCTTTCTTCATATGATGTCAGTGCCACAGGGTGGCTGCTTGGGCTCTAGCGATCAAGTCTTCATTCTGGCCAACAGGAAGGAAGGTCAAAAGAAGGGACAGTTAATCCTTTAAGGAGGTTTCAGGAAGCTGCCACTTAATTCTTCTGCTTATCTAATTGTCCAGAACTTAGCATGGTCACAAGGAGCTGCAGGGGAGGCTGGGAAATGTAGTCATGTGCCCAGCTAGGACTCAGGGACTGAGATCTAGGTACACAACCAGCCTTCTCTGCCAAGTGTCTCATGTACTTTGGGATGGAATCCTTGGGAGAGTAGCCAAAACAAGGCTGATGCTAAGAATGAGCAGGGCAAACTATATTTTTAAAATTCTAGGTCTGAAGGAAAAAAGACTTCTGGTGAATTCAGACATTTTCCCATGGTAATCTGTTTAACAGACATTTTGGGTGAGCCCTCCCAGTGCCAAGTCCTACCAGGCCCTATGAATAAAAGATGAGTCATAATTGGTCCTTGTGCTCCAGGAGTTCTTAGGTTATTGGATTGACCTGTGGCTGCTTTTTGGTCCTGGAATCGCTTGTACTAAATAATAATTTAGTGAGTTTCTAATTTAGATCTTTTTTATTGGTGCTGGTAATGGTTCTGCAGCTAGAAGAGCCCACTCAGCAGTGCATGGGTTCTGGAGCCATCCATGAATCTCAAGACCATATGGCTTTGTGGGTATCCCAGGGAAGCATTTGAGTGACATTTCCCTGTTGCTGCCACACAGTGGCTTTGATTGGAAGTCAAATCAGCAGGTTTGAACTTTGTTCTGTTTTACCCAGGGCAAATTACTGGTGCTTTGGTTTTCTCATGCCTGTAAATTAGAGTGTCTGAGCTGCATGGGGAGCAGTGTTGCCCCCCAAAGGAGTGATGTAATGTCTGGGGGCTGTGGTGGTATTCCTCTGAGATGGATGCCATGTAAGTTCGTGGCGTGCTTCTTAACATTAGTGACAGGAAAAGCTGCTGTCAAGAGTGATTGATGTGATTTGCATATAGTCCCAGAGGCCAGGAGCTAAGTGGGGTCTTCCTGCCTGAGGAGGTAAAGCATCTGGCTGTCTTACACTATTAGCTGCTGTGGTATTGAGTTCAGGGCAGGTGTTAACTGAAGTTCACAACCCATTCTGAAGAGCGAAGTGGTTTTCCTCCATCTGAACGGCCCTCCCTCTTATTCTGAAGCAGCTCACCCAGAGTGTGACAGGCAACTTGATGGGATGCAGAAATGTTGGGCAGATGGCCCTTAGCCTGTACTCCTCTGTAAGGTTGTCTGTGAGAAATGCCAGCCCATTTCCCAAGGGACACGCCCAGTCTGAAGCCCTCCCACAGGCTGATCTGCTCTGAGCTGTGTCCAGCTGTGGGCTCCATCCAAGTCCTGAGCAGTTCAGAGGTGACAAAGAGGCTAAGAGAGCTCTATTGCCCTATTTGTTTTGTTTTACTCATCCAGCCGTGTTGGAACTGGACAAGAGGATCTTAAGAATGGGATCCTGGAAGACACACACACTTGGAATTGCATAGTAAGATGGTGTCTAGGCTCTCTGGGCCACCTCCCATGTGAAAAGGAGTTTAGAGAAATATCCTGTCTGTAGCAGTACAGGAAGCTGCACGGGCTTGACAGCTGCCAACTGGAGGGGCCTGTTGATGAGCTGTTGACTGCTCTTGGGGTTTCCCTAATGGGAAGTCTCTGAGGAAAGAGTTCATTGTTCTGCATGTCTGGTGGACTCTGAGCCCTGTGGTTATTGGCTGCTAACAGCTGGATTATTTTGAGCATAATAAAAATTTTGAGAACAGTTTTTTTGGATTTTTTTTTTAAGTGGACTTTTACCTTATTTTTGATATACAGATCACTTGCCTATCTTTAGATGTATGAAACTTTTAACATAAATGTTGCTTTTAATGATACAGTGGGACAAAACAATATTATATTTCTAACCAATTCCCTTCCTATCTCCCTTCCCCTATCATTGTTCTCCAGAAGGGGAGTAAATTTATGGAGAACATTTTGGCGGATGACAAAGCTCCTTCAGTTCTGGAATAGTGAAAAGAATTGTGCATTTGGAGTTAGAAGATCTGTGGTTTGAGAATCAGCTCTGTGACCATGAGCAAGTCATGTAACTTGATTGATTCTTGAAGCTTCAATTTCCTCATTAGAGAAAAAAAGGCAAAATAATGTCTTGTAATGGAATTAAATGAGATAGTATCTTCAAAATACCATATAGGGGCTGGCTGGTTAGCTCAGTTGGTAGAGCACTTATAACTCCAAGGTCATAGGTTCTGATGCCCGCACTGGCCAGTCGCAAAAAACAAAAAAAGAAAAAAAAAAAAGAATCTAGGCTCTTTGTATAACAAATAATATCTTGGTAAAATACACATTACATAAAATTTACCACCTTAACCATTTTTAAGTGTATGTTTCTTTTTTTTTTAAGTGTATGTTTCAATAGTGCTGAGTATATTCACATTGTTGGACACCCAATCTCCAGAACCTTTCCATCACATAAAACTGAAACTACATCCATTAAACAATAACTCCCATTTCCCCGTCTCCTTGGCCTCTGGCAACCACCATTCAACTTTTTGCTTCTGTGAATTTGACTGCTTTACCTAGCTCATGTGAGTGGAACCACACAGTATTTGTCTTTTTGTTATTTTAGTTATTTTAAGTCTTAGCCCACCATCACAATTGCATCCTGTCCCATTTTTAGCTTTCTATAGGCTCGTTCATGCTTTCCTGCATTCTTAATTCACTAATTAGAGGAATTATTTCTTTTCTTAAGGAAACAAGGTGGATACCTTAAAGCTCCATTTCATCCTTTGGGGGAGGGGAGCAGGATTAGGGAAAAGGGGAACACTGAAATGAAAGCGAAGAGATCTAACAAGGTGGGCATTAAGTGAGGAAAAGATACTCATGGCAGAGTGGATCCCATGTAGGGCTCCTGTCTCCCTCCCTGCCTTCCTATCATCTAAAAAATTCAAACCTACACAAAATTAGAGAGAATAGTGTAACTAACTCCTGTGTATCTGTCACCCAGATCCAACAGTTATCTAGATTTTTTAGGGCCCATTTCTAATATGGTCTAGTAGGAGGAAAACACCTGAAAAATCTAGATGAAATTAGAGGCAGGTGTTTCTCAGCTTATTCATGTAGTAGTATTTCTCTCCTCCTGAGTGATAAAGGGTTTCTTCTGCCTTGGGGGATTTCTTTCTACCTTTAGGTTGAGGTAAAGAGGAGCCAGGACTGTATGGTAAGTCATTTAACTGGGTTTCCCCACCTACAGAGGAGCACAAGTGACTTCTAAGGGTGGTTGTAATGGGGCATTTGGCATGACCTGCCACCTACTCAGTAATCAGTTACAGTGTCAGCTGTTGTTATCAGTGGTGGTGTTTGCAGAAAAGAAGGATCACCAGCCAGGTCTTTGAAAACACAGGACAGAGACATGCAACTATGACCAAGAAAATAGCCTTCCTTTATCCTTGATCAAGATTGTGATTAAAAGAAATAAGAAAAAACAAAACAAACAAAATTAAAAACCAACAAAACAACAAAAAGAGAAATTGTGATAAGCACTAATTTTTCAAAATTGCACCTACTGTGTGTTCGTTAACCCAGTTTTATTGGCCATTGCTCAGGTTCTGTTCAGGTTTTTGCCTGGGTTAAGGGAAATGATTGTCTGCAAAATTGGGTAGTGCAACTTTTAAATATGCTTTTTTTTTTTTAGTGGTGATGGGATTACTGGTTACATTAAAAACATTTAATAGGTCTTAACTATAAATAAAAAAATACCATGGTTTGAATAACCAGATAGATTATATTCAACTGGTTCCACAATCCCTCTTTTTCATTTTGTTTTTCTTTGGACTTCCAGAAGGAATTCTGTGTATGAGTAAAGGCTTATGGGTATAGACTCTCCTACAACCTTAGAATGTAAGAAACAGATGCCAGTTAGGGAAAGGAAATTTTGGGTCTACAGGCATTTAAAAACTTATAGTTTATAAATGTATAGAGCCTTTGATTTTGTTGTAGCATTTTCATATTTGAATCTAGTTTAAGTCATGTGCAAGTTTTTGCCTTCCTGTGATTTTTTGGGGGGTGGGAGTGGGAGCAAATCTGCAGTCAATAAGTCCAATGTAGTTTTATTTTATTTTGTTTTCTTGGTGGCTCACCAGTAAGATACCTCGCTCTAACCAACTGACAGTGTTACCTTTTATCAGTGGCTTTGAGAAAGGCTTTTATAGAAGAGGACGTAGAACTTACTGCCATCCTCCCCCACCTTCACTGCAGACACCTGAGTATAGTAGGTTGTGTTAAGGGGAGGAAGGGAGGAACTTGTGAGGTCCCTAGACTTCTGTCAGCAGGTGTATTTTGTTCCTCCCTTAGCCCTCTAATTCATCGTACAAATGATAGCCTTTGGATTCTAACTTCTTCTTCTTCTTCTTCTTTTTTTTCTTTCTTTTTTGAGACCGGCCGCACCGTGCTCAGCCAGTGAGCGCAGCGGCCATCCCTATATAGGATCCGAACCTGCGGCGGGAGCGCTACTGCGCTCCCAGCACCGCACTCTCGTGAGTGCACCACGGGCTCGGCCCTGATTCTAACTTCTAAAGTCCTCTCTTAGGGGGTATGCATCAGATCAGAGACTCTGGCCCTCCCTTCTACCACATATGCCTTCTTTCTCTTACTCCATGGTGTTTTCTTCTCTCCCTACAGTCTTCTGTGTGTGCTAAGATTGTGCAGCTTCTGGGACAGAATGAGGTGGACTATCACCAGAAGCAGGTTGTCATCCTGAGCCAGGATAGCTTCTACCGTGTTCTCACCTCAGAGCAGAAGGCCAAAGCCCTGAAGGGCCAGTTCAACTTTGATCACCCGGGTGAGTTGGGAAATGAAGGGTGTATGCGTATTGGGGTTAGTGAGAGTATTTTGTTTTGCCCATGAGGAAGTTGCTTAACCTCTCTGAGTCTGTTTCCATGTATAAATATAAAATAGAGGACAGATAACTACCTCACAGAGTTATTGTGGGGATTATATAAAAGAAGGAACTTTGAAATGCTTCATGTAGCACTTGGCTCATTAAATACTGATTGAATCTTTGTCTAAACAAGGGTGATTCCATGTGAGCCTATGACTTGAGATGGGCCAGATATTAGATTGAACATTCACAGCTGGTCCTTCTGCCTCCTCTGATCTGAAGCAGTCTGTGTCATACGCTCTCCCCCACCCCATACATGGGTGCACATGGCACATATGCTGAACTCACTGACAGCAGGAAGGGAGATGGAGGGCTCAGGGTGACTGCCTGAGTGGTTTTTGCCCTGAGAGCCCCAGATCAGCACACTGCTCCTTTAGCTGGTTGGGCTTCTTATAATTGCTGGAACCAAACCTTCTTGACATAGTGTCTATTATACTCCCCAGTCATGAGTGTGCTTTCCAGGTTAACATGTAATCCTAAGATAACAGTTGAACTTGGAGAGAGCACAGAGCTATCTGAGGCCAGCAACGGAATGTCAAAGGAGAAAAAAAGAAATGAGTTTGTTAGAACTCATTCACACATCCTGTTTTGAGAAACAGGGAGCTTTCATTCTGCTTTGTGTGGAAATCTGGCTTTGGGGGATGCCATACACTTCTCTAGGTTGTGGTGCACCTTTTGTGGGGATGCTCTGTGCGTAATTATAGGAGAAATCATTTTAAAATGTAGAAACATTTTAACAGTTTGATTTCCTTCAGATGCCTTTGACAATGAACTCATCTTCAAAACACTCAAAGAAATCACTGAAGGGAAAACAGTCCAGATCCCTGTGTATGACTTTGTCTCCCACTCCCGGTAAGTGAGCTGTTTTGGGCCAGGATTGCCATCTGTTGCAACTCAGAGCATCTCTGGTCTGTACTGAGACCCCCTGCCCCATCTCTTGCACTTGTGGCTCCTGATCTATCCCTTCCTGTTGCCACTGCTGACTGTCAGTGGAGGGGCAGTGGCTGCAGCATGCACCGTAGGGTTGCATGTCTGGTGAGTTCAGCTAGGTGCTTCCTGGAACAGACTGGTCATCACGTTTTGTTAACTCTGAAGCAGGTTCATGATTTGGGCTTGGGCAAGGGACTGCACATTTGTTCTGATCCATATCCCTGAGTGGTTGTTCATGGAAAAAGATGCAGGAAGAAGAACAAAGAAAACTGTTCTTTCTGCTCTCTGGGATTTGACCGTTTGGAGAGGTGTTTGAGATCACTGGATGCTGATCTCAGAATGAACCAAGCCCTCCAGAATGCTTTTCAATCAAATCAAACCAGTCCTCCAGGAAGCTTCCAGTTTAATGATCCTGAGTGGGAATAGAGGAGTGGTGAGACTTCCAGCTCCTTCTCCTCCCTGCCGAGTGATGGGACTGGGCTCCTGGAGGACTGCACTCCTGCTGGCCAGACCCCCATGCTCCTTCAAGGCTATGCAGAGCTCTCTACTCCCTCTGTCTTCGTTTTAACATAAAATCCCTTGGGACTCTGTAGCCAAACACAGAACTCCTAAATGGTATATCACACCAAGTGTGATGCCTTTCATATTCTGGGGTAGTAAATGTTGTTCTTACCTATAGGTTCTTTTGAATGTTTCTTCCATCTGCTTTTCATTCTTCCTTCCCAGTTCCTTTATCCCATTTTTTGCTGAGTTGAAATTTTTTTTAAAATGGGGAATTAGATCTCATACATGCTTTTTATTACTAGATGTTCCTATAATTACAAACCCAATCATTATCTCCCTGCCTTCTCTTTCAGTACACATCTCTGTCAGCCTTTAATGCAGCACATGTACATTCTGTGTCTTTCTTATGAGCCAGAACTTGAGGATGTGGGAATTATTTGGTTGGGGGATGAAGCTAGGGTGGGTGGGAGGCACTCACTGAAATTCAGAGACGCCCTAGTACTAACCTTCACCCCTCACCAGTATCTTCTGAAGCACTTCTATCCTGGGCCAGATTCTACTGTGCAGGAGAGTCAAAGATCAAGATTCTGTACACCACACCTCCTGTGTCAGTCTGTTTTCCTAAACAAACCACTACATATCATGCAAGAATAAAGAGGCTTAGTATAGGAATTGGGGCTAACACGAATGTTGGGGGCTGATAGAGCGAAGACCTGTAAGGCTGAAACCAGAAAATCAGAGACAATAGTCCCCACTGACTCTAGCCCAAGGCCCAGAGCAGAAGCTGGAGTTCATGGAAAAGTCCAAGAAACGATCACGTCTGAGCCCACAGCCTCAATATGGGAGCTTGCGAAATGTTTGCAAAGTTCCTTGTCTCATTGTTACTATCTCCTGAACATGATGGATGTTGCTTCACTTTGACCCTTAAGTCTTTCATTGGCAAAGTAACCTGGAACCATATAGGGAATGGGATCCTGGGAATTGTAGTCTTGCCTCAGAGGGAAGTGGTGGTGTTGTCAAGTTGACAAGAGACAGTCTGGCCCACCACATCCCAAGATCTGGGTGAGCACCAGCTAAAGAATTAAAATACAGCATGACAACTAAGGCAAGGGCCCATGGAAGAGTATAAAGCAGGGAAGGAGGCTGGAGTATTTAGGGCAGGTTGTACAGAGGAGGTGATGTTGAAGCTGTGTATTGGAAAGGATAAGAAGTTGTTGCAGAGGGCCAGCCCATGCCTCACTTGGGAGAGTGTGGTGTTGATAACACCAAGGCCATGGGTTCAGATCCCTATATAGGGATGGCCAGTTAGCTCACTTGGGAGAGCGTGGTGCTCACAACACCAAGTCAAGGGTTAAGATCCCCTTACCGGTCATCTTTAAAAAAAAAAAAAAGGAAGTTGTTGGGGAAAGGGATTTTCAAGGTGATGGATAGGGAGGCATTTCAAGGATAGGCATGGACAGGCTTCTCGGGGAGCTGCAGTCAGATAGGTGTGGAGGGATGGGGTCGGTGTATGTAGGCAGCAACAGGAGAAGGAGGCTGGGAAGGTAGGCAGGCCTCATCATGAAGGGCAATAGATGTCAGGACTAGGGCACAAACGTGTTGCCAGTGGGGGAGCTACAGATGGCTTAAACACAGGAGTAGGAAGATCATTCTGGTGGCAGGAAGAGAGGATCCACAGCTCTTTTATGAAGAAGCCTTTGGAGTAGCCTAGGTGAGAGGCTGATGAGGGCCTGACATAAGGTGGTAGAAGTGAGGGTTGCGGACAGAGTCAGGCTTGGCCAGTGTGGAGTCAGGAATGAGGGAGGGGAGGTTGAATACCTTATGCGGATGAGTTCCATCAAGTTTACGTATAAACCAAAGAACACCCCAGCAGCATTCCCAGTACTGATAATATTTCCACTTTTTCTCCTGCTGTGTCTCATACCTTATATTTTAAAACCTTATTCTTTATTGGCCCAGAGCCTCTCCTGTGAAATTTTTCCTGACCACCCTAGGTCACAGCAACCCTCCCTCCCAAATCTGAAGGGCCACTTGTTAGACATCTAGTTGTCCAGAGTTAACTGATCCCATCCCACCCATGGGCCTTTGATAATGTATGAAAACTTGTTGGACTAAGATTAAGAAGACACCTATTTGCTGCAAATACCCTTCTCTGGTCTTCTCTTTCCCCATAAACCAAATGAGACAATGGGGTTAAGTTATATCATATGACTTAATAATCTAGGTTTCTTTTTGGTACTTCCCAGCTCGACTCTAAACTCCTAAATGGTGTATTATGCCAAGTATGGTTCCGTGCACAGTCTGGGCTAGTAGTTGCTCAATAAATGTTTTTTAGCTCTGAGCTGTTTTGAAAATTGCTCCCACTTAAAACCACATGTGGACTTGGGAAGTGATTAATTCCAACTTCTTAGGGCATCAGTAACAAAGCAGGCAGTTCTTTTCTCCTTCCTGGAATACCACTTATTTCTTTTCAGTATTTATGAGTTTTAGTCATCCTGATAAGCACTTGATGTAGTGTCAGTACATGTAAACCTAGCACAGTCAGTGTGTTTTTCAGATGGAATGCTAGGAATCCCACAAACACACTCTCTTTGTTTCCCAACAGAGCCCTCCCACCTTCTCCTCCGTGTAGGTAGGGCATTTGCCTAGAGTGGCTCATTCTTTCACTCAGCCATTGATTGTGTTTTCTATCCACTTCCCTTCTGAGCTCTTCTTGGTTGTTTCTTTATCCTAAACCACAAAAGCATACCCTATTTTCTGGCAGCTGACATTCCCATTCTCCTCCGTGTAGGTAGGGCATTTGCCTAGAGTGGCTCATTCTTTCACTCAGCCATTGATTGTGTTTTCTATCCACTTCCCTTCTGAGCTCTTCCTGGTTGTTTCTTTATCCTAAACCACAAAAGCATACCCTATTTTCTGGCAGCTGACATTCCCATAGGCTGGTGCTTCTCAACCCTGGCTACACTTAGAAATATCTGGGGAGCTTTTAAACAGTGTTGATGCTCTAGCACCACCCCAGATTAATTAAATCAGAGCCCCTCGGGGGAGGGAGGGTCCAATAAATATTTTTGAAAGCTCCCCAGATGATTCTAATATGCATTCAAGCTATACTATGGAACTAGAGAACCTCCTAATCTTACTAACCTGGCCCTTTTCTGCTGTCTTGCACACCCTGCGTTCGGCCACTTGGTGGTTATCCCAGCAGTGCTTGCCTTAAATCAGGTACAACCCCAAAGGTCTGATCTAATAAGGAACCAGAGAGTATTTATGAGAGGGAAAAAATAACGGCATCCTTTCTAGTTGGCAATTACTACTGACCCTCCCTATGTTTGTACAGATAGAACTATTGTATTAAGGAGCTTTTCAAAAATTTATTTTATTTGGTTTTATTCACAAATATTTGCTAATCTGCTAGTCAGGGTGAGTCATAAACCTTGCAGTGATCATTACTTCCCTTTCAATAAATTTTGAGTTGGAGGCAGTGGGTGACAGGATCACCGATAAGGTAGTTATAGGGTGGAATCAAAGGCTAAGAATACAGGGAAAGTCGGGGCAGGGCAGAGCTGAAAGAGGCCCAGCACTAACATCTGCCCTGGGCACCCCAACCCTGTGAGGTAGGTGGATGACATAATGTGTATCTCTGCTTGATTGGTAAGGAAGGGGACTCCTAGGGAGCTAGGTGCTGACCTGTGGCCACCATACTAGCTTGTGGTGGCACCAGACCAGACAGAACTCGGGACCCTACTTCCATGCAAATGCTTTCTCTTCTATATCCTCTTTTCCAAAACTTTTTCTCCCCTCACTCTCTCTCCTCCTCTATCCTTTTCTCTCTCCTTTCAGTTGCCTCAGGACTGGGGGGTGGGGGATGCGATTGTTGAGAGAAAACTGTGAGTTGCTGTTTTTTAAAGTTCAGAGTGTTAGGTTCCATAAATGCCAGGCATGAGAGCATTACTGGAGACACCTTAGGAGAGAAAAGAAATCACATCTGCTTTTGTCTCTTTATTCTTCATTCAATAGTAGGTTTTTTATTCCAAGGAGGATGTCTGCCCTCTATTTCTGGTTTATAGTGAAGGCTCAGAAGAACTAGCATGGGAGACCTTTGTCCCAGCCATCTTTGCCCCTCTTCTGGCTTTTTGGTGCTGGGCCAAAGGCTCTGTAAGGCTGTGCAGGCCAAGTCTTTTGCCCCTGCTTGAAGTCTGAGGGAGAAGGAACCAGAACTGACAGCCCCACCAGAGGCTCTGGCTCCTGGTCCCCTCTTCCTCGCTAACATCAGTCCTGTGCTTTGCAGGAAGGAGGAGACAGTTACTGTCTATCCCGCAGACGTGGTGCTCTTTGAAGGGATCCTGGCCTTCTACTCCCAGGAGGTACGAGACCTGTTTCAGATGAAGCTTTTTGTGGATACAGACGCGGACACCCGGCTCTCCCGCAGAGGTGCGTTCTAGAAGCCTCAGGTGGCCCTGTTGGCAGCCACCTTGGGGGTGGGGGGCTGGGAGCTTTGACTTTCCCAGGGCAGCTGTGTTGTGGCCTGTCAGTTTGGCCCCAGGATATCCTGCTGCCCAAATGTTTGGTGACATTTGAGAAGGGATTAGTCACTTACTGTTGCACATAAGGAAAGACTCCTGAGGTCACTGAGATGAAATAAGAAGGTGACGTTCTGGTTTTGCTGGGAAAAGTTTGGTGAAATGCTCAGTTCCTTGTGATTTTTCTAAAAGTCATCAATATCAAGATACCTTGATTTTGGGGAACTCACTGTAGGACTTCTGGGGATAGGATCCAACCGTGCCTGTAGCACTGGGCAGCTTGTCCTAGCAAACTGCTTCTCTAGCCCTTTATTTTCCAGAAAGCTTCATGGAGGCTTTGTCACTCTCTCTAGCCAGCTCAGGGCTCTTCCTCCTGCAGGCCTGTGGAGTGTGGGGCTGTGCTGAGGCCCCATGCCTGGTGGTGCTGAAGGTGCAGAAATGCCCATGGGTTGGGGAGCTGAACCTGTGAATTAAACTCTCCAGGACATTGAGCAGAGAGTTTGCTTCCACTGAGAGACGTCAGGAGACTTCATGGAGGAAGAGAGGTCAGGACTTAGATGTGATGGGGTAGGGTGATGACACAGCAGCTCATGAAGGTGCACAGCTCAAATGAAGAAAGATAAAAACAGATAATGGCTTGTCACGAGAGTGGCAGGTGGCTGGAGTATATAGAGGGTTGTACAAAGACACGTTGGAGAGTAGCTTGGGGCCAGGTTGTGGGGACCGAGACTTCGAGTTTGGCTGGTGGTAGGCAGGGGAGAGCTACCACGGGGTTTTGAGCAGGGCAGGTGAAAAGGCCACTGCTCTGTGTTGGATGACTATTCTGACGGAGGATATGTGAGTGAAGACTGTAGCTGGGTTTGGCTGTTTGGAGACTGTTTTGCTGATCTGGACTAGAGGTAGGGCCGCCGTTAGGTGGTGGGAGAGGAAATACAGAAGTGGGGAGAGGTGAAAAGGGCATTAACCCAGCAAGGGCAGTGGGGTGGGGGTGGTGGCTAAATGGAGGGAGGAAAGGTGACTTAAGCTTTGAGACTTTTCTGTGTGAAAGAGAGAGGGAGACACATAAAATACTGAGGTTAGTTCGTAGTCACAGAGCAAATCACTGGCACATCCAAATTTTGTAAGCTCCAGCCCAGAGCCTTCTGACCTTGCCGTCTGGGTAATCTGCCCTTTTAGATTCATGAAACAAATCTGTAGTTTATCCAGTTGAGTTGTCATTGCCAGAGCTGTTCATGGAACCAATAGAACAGACAGAAGCAAGTGCTGAGTTTTGCCTGTCTAAGCGGTGACATGGTCCACACTTTGTTGGTTGGAGATACATTTGTGCTCCCAGGAGGGGGTGGGGGACAGGGAGTATTTTGTGATGGAAGGAAGAATGGGAAGGGGTGGCCTATATTTAGTCCCAGCAGAGCACCCAGCTAGCTTTGTGACACCCTAGGCTTGGGTTTCTTTCTGGGTAGTGTGGGGAGACAGGCCTGTTTTAGTGTCATGACTGTGGTCAGGTAAGAGTTACATGGTCTTTTTGGATAGATTATTGAAGCTTGAGCCTGGCAACCCCCCATGCTTCTGCCACAGGACTTGGCTTGTTGCCTTAATCCATAAGCCCAGGTCTTACTCTGGTTGTTCTGCTCCATGTCCACATTAGCTTGCCAAATTAGAGGCTCAGGATGATGCATTGAGAAAAATAAAATTTGGAGTCAGGTGAACTGGGCTGAGATCCTGGTTTCACCACTTACAAGATGTATGACCTCGGACAAATCGTGTTTTAACCTCATTTCCGTGTTAGAAGATTGTCTAATGATTACCAGTGCCAGGTTCTTTGTTGTGAAGATGAGAGGTAGTACAGGTAAGATACCAGACGGCCCGTTAGGAGGTGATAGAGATCTGTGGGGTAGATCAGAAGTCTGCTTCTGCTGTGACAGTCGGTGTTGTTCTGTTTCCCTGTGTTTTCTGTGAGGACTGGTCAGGGTCTCTGAGTGGGTCTGGTGAGGTCATGTCCTCATGAGCTGGTGATACCAGGCTGATGCAGTCAGTAGCCCAGCAAGTGGAACTCAGTCCTAGGGATGCAGTGATGCTTGGGAGGCCTTGAAGGAGGGAGTGTGAGAAGACGCGTGGAAATTAGGGCCAAGTTTTGAGTAGTGATGATGTCCTTGGAAATAAAGTGAATCTTGATGTCTAATTCAAACATCATCACAGTGTGGGTCAAACAGAACATTCTCCCTTTCTTTCTTGTACTGGGACCCTTCCATGAAAAGGGGACAATCCCTGCAGTGATGGTGGCCCTCTCTGTGGTTTCTTAGGGCTGGTTCTGCCACCCCCTGCCTTCCTCAGTGCTGCCTGGGCACGTGGCCGCTTTCTCATTTCAGATCTGCTGTCGCCACATGCCACCCACTGGCACGTCACTCTCCTGCTGGACTCATGGGACTTTTCTATGTGCTATTTCTGCAAATTCATTCTCTCTCCACATGGGACAAAAACCAAGCCTGGCATGTGCTTTGTAGAGGTGCTGCAGGGGAGGGGAGGGGTGGGTTAGTGAGAAGCAGCTGTTGGGCTTGAGAACATTCCTGGAGACCCGAGTTAGCTCCATGATTTTACCCATCTGTGTGTCACTCTGTCTGGGCATGTCACCCTTGCATTCCAAGCTGACTGTTGTGTGGGAGGGACCTGCCTTTGAGCAGTGCAGCCCTGGGGAGACTTGTCTCCTTCCCGCTGGAACCCCTTGTCCTTCTAGGGAATTGGTGGCCAGCAGTGCTAGCCTTCTTCCTTTATGTGCACTCTACCCTAAATTCTCCTTAAATGCAGGGACAGGGAGGAGGTGGGGCAGGGGATTCAGGACTGCTGATACCTAGTCTCTCTCCTGCCATCATCTCTGTGCCTGGCTCACACAGAATTAGGGCTGTAGTGGGCCTTATGGGATATTCAGTCTGTTCTTTAGCCATAGGGTAGGTTGTTTCTCTTCATCTAATTTTTAAAGTGAATAGATTTAACCTTTGAGGAATTGTCTTTTTTGGGGTCTTTCTAAATTTTGTTCTTGGTCTTGGCTGACCAGAAAAAGCATGACTGGATAGGGAAGGGCTGAAGTGGAAGGCCAGACAGGAAATGTGGGTAGACTTGCAGCTTTTTGCCCTTTGCTGTGTCCTCTGGAAGGACGTGCCCTGGCCCAGCAAATGTGCTGGGGTCAGAGTGATGATGGGGGAGCTGGTTTTGAGTCCCTGGAGTTGCTAATTTGTGCCAAGACCTTGTTCTGACTCAGTGCTCAGCTTGGCCCTGTTTCCTGCCTGTGCCTGTGGAGCAGGGCGTTTCAGTGCAGGGAACTGGCTGGCCCTGTGTTGTCCTTGGCTTAAGGCAGGGTCCTGGTTTGCTTAAAATGATAATTCTTGTCAAAGGCTCTTGGGGAGCAGTGGTGGGCAGTGTCTTTTGATTTTGCATGTTTCTGATGTCTGAACCATTTCCTTTTTCCTTTTCCAGAGCAGAAACTATAGTGTGACAACTCCCTGTCTTCCCTGCTTCTCCCTCTTCACTTGTGTCTTTCCATGTGTGCGTGTGTCCTGCCGTCCCCCCCCCCCCCCCCCCCCCCCCCCCCCCGCCCCCCCCCCCCCCCCCCCCCCCCCCCCCCCCCCCCCCCCCCCCCCCCCCCCCCCCCCCCCCCCCCCCCCCCCCCCCCCCCCCCCCCCCCCCCCCCCCCCCCCCCCCCCCCCCTCCCTCCCCCCCCCCCCCCCCCCCAGCTGCTCTGCAGGACTCCTTCCACTCACTGCTCCACTCCCCGCTGGGTCTGGCCGGCTTACCTGAGTTGGTGCCCACCCTCCAGCTGCACAGGTTAGCTCTACCAGGGGCCGTCGCTCTCCCGAAGTTTCCTCAGGTCCTGTTTTTGTTGCATTCATCATAGAAACCCATACTATTGAACATGTACTATGTGCTGCTGCTGTGCTGAAGAGTTTTATGCACATCTCTCTGTATTCCTAAATAATAACTTTATGAGGAAGGTACTATTATTGTCCTTATCTTACAGGTGAGGAGACTGAGAGTCAAAGTGGTCAAGTAACTTGTCCACGGTCACAGCGATAGGAGTGATTGGGGTCAGGATTCAAGTCCAGATGAGTTTAACCCCCAAGGCCCTTACCCACTAACAGTAGAGCAAGAAGCAGCTTTGGGGCTGCAGAGCAGATTCACTGTGACTCACCTTCTCCACCTGCCTTCCGCACAACCAGTTTCTCCTCTCCAGTGACATAACAGATGAAGCTACCTGGTCCACAAGATACAAGGGAGTGGAGGCCTGGGCTGAGGACAGTAGGAGGGCTGCATGAAGGAGTGTGTGTGTGTGTGTACGTGTGTATGTGCGTGTGTGTGTGCACGTGTGCGCTGGGAGAGTGACAAAGCTTCCTACAGTGCTTAGCCTCAGCAGTTGTGAAAATCCTGCCTCGTGAAACAAACTGGCCATCAGGCTTGTGAATAAAAGCTGCCCTACTGTGGCCATGTGTTTGTTTTTCCCCAGCTCTGATACCCTTTTGAGCTGGCTTCCTTTATGCTTTGGCCTTTATCTGGGTTTGTGTGAAGAACGGGAGGCCACATTGGCTGTGTGTTTTGGCCATGTTGAGCTCATTAACCATGAACTCTGAGGGCTTCTGGGGCTGAGTGATGTGGCAGCCCCTCGGGCTCCTTCTTGGCTGGTTTCCCCAGCAGGTCTGCTGGGGTGGCAGCAGGAGCAGGGCCTGGTGTTGCAACACTGCAGAAAACATTTCCTGGCTGGAGAAGGCTCAACTGCTGGGCTGGGCGGGCAGTCAGGAGGGCCTGGGAGGCAAGCCCTGACACATTAGGGACCGACCATTTTATTACAGGGCTCATGTGGAAAAACACTTTGTAAATCATGGAGCTGACATAAGGGTCTGATGGTGGTAACATTAGTACCCAGCTCTCTGGAATGTGGTCTTCCTGACAGTTTATTGGCCTTCTCATCTTAGAGACTTCATGTGTGTCTGGATCATAATAGTGACATCCTCCCTCCTTCTCTGCCCTCAACTGTGCATGAAAGCAAGTGTGTGTGTATATAATCATAATTATCTAGAGGCCTGGCTTTCCAGAAATTCACTCACAGATATTCCCCATGTTTGTTTATAGTGAGTTTCACCCCACGATTGAGTCTGTTAAATGAGAAATGGTTGTGAAGGAGCCGAGGGGCCATTGCAAATGATTGTAGACAGATCCAAGCTTTTGGGTGTGGGTGGAAGATTAAGCAGTTCAGATAATAAGATTTAAAACGACATCACTAAGGAGGGGCTGCTTTGATTGAGAGACTCTTCTTCCAAACTTACTTATGGGAACTTAGGCTCAGGGAGGTTAGTGTACAGCATCGGAACCAGGATGATCAGTCCACTTTCCATTTTTTGGATAAAAGACGCTATTAAAAAAAAAAGTGATGAAAGTCCCTGAATAGAACTGACCAGGGGCAAGGAGGTAGAAAATAGAAGACAGTGAGTTTGAGTCCACCTGGGCTTCCTCATAGCCCCGACCCCAGTTTGCTAGAGCACAGTTTTCTCATCTTTCACGAAGTGATTTTTCTCTTTGCAAATCTTCAGTGCTTGAGGGATGTGGGGACAGCTCACCACAGCTGGACCCTCTGCCCTGCCCTCTGTCCCCAGGGAGCATGGGTGGGAACCAGGAGTCACAAGCTGATGCTTCAGCAGTAGGTTGGTGGGCTTCTGAACACAGATGAGTCAGTGCAAGGGGACAGGTTGACATCCGGCCGTCTCTCTGGGCCAGGCTGCTTAGTGTTATAATGAGCTCTCTAGGGCTTCCTGGCTTTTTTTTTTTTTTTGGTTCACACTGAAATTTTGTTTGGGTCAAGTAATAAGGCTGTTGGCCTTGGCCCAGCAGCCTTTTGTTTCCCAGAGCATTTTGTCATAGCAGGATTTGACCATAGTAAGATGTGAAAAGGTAACTTGTTTTTTCTGAAGCTGCTGCTGATTTGCTTTTGGTCAAGTCTCTCAGGAGTCCAGCTTGTGAATTATCCAGAGTAACTGTGGAGCTTTGTGAGCCTGGTCTGCCTCGTGAAGGACAGTTACGTTATTGGCTCATGAACTGTTTTCTTGATTCTTGTTTTTCCTTCTCTTACAGTGTTAAGGGACATCAGCGAAAGAGGGAGGGACCTGGAACAGATTTTATCTCAGTACATTACGTTCGTCAAGCCTGCCTTTGAGGAATTCTGCTTGCCAGTGAGTTGTGTTCTTGGTTTGTTTTTGTTGAATGTAGAATTTAAAATTGAATGATACACATAAAGGTATGTAAGTTGATGAAGCTCCCTGGCTTGAATCTCACTCCTCTCACTGAGTGAGTCTCTATTCTGAAGACCCAAGAGAGAGCAGCCTTTGGCCCTTGCGTCCTGTGTTCTCCAGGAGCTCTATTCTGCTGTTCTTTCATAGAGTAGCTCTGTAGGGTCCTGTCAGTGCTTAGGCTGTTCGTTTAATTCCCAGCAAGTTGTACATGTGATCGTGGCATGAGACACGTCAGTGAGGATGTGTCATATCTAAGCATGGGTCTGCAGAAGGTCTATGATGATTGGAGTGTTGGTTCACTGAGGGCTCTGCCACAAGGTGTTCCTTTCTGAATCTCTCCTGCCACCACAGGTGAGCCCTGTGATGGGTCTGCAGAAGGTCCATGATGATTGGAGTGTTGGTTCAGTGAGGGCTCTGCCACAAGGTGTTCCTTTCTGAATCTCTCCTGCCACCACAGGTGAGCCCTGCTTTCAGCGTGTCTTTGGCCCCCGTGTAAGTCCCATTGGACTTGTGCTGTATTGGAATAAACTTCCTTACTTCCGTCCTGGCACAGACTTATGAGTCCTTCCTGTGGCAGCCGGGAATTCTTTAGTGAGGTGGCTTTCAGAGAAGGAAGGGGGGGGAAAGGGGATAAATTCTCAGCTTTTAGTGAAGCGGTCCTCAGCCCCGGAAGCACCCTCTGCTTCTTGGGAAAGACAGAAAGGCGAATGTTGTAAGAAGGCCCCCAGAGACAAGGTGTGGTGTGGTGTGGTGGGGAAGACGTGAGAGAGAACCTAGGTTTGGAAGAAGTACTTAACTCAGGAGAGTCCTCTACCTCAGTCATTGTGTCTTCTCTAGTTTGGCCAAACCATGCCTGACTCCTTATAATTATTATAATTAAGCTCTGTGCAGACTTGTTCACTAGCTCTCTGCATGATGTGGCAGAAGCGAAGGGAACCAGGTTTGCTGAAGTAATTGTGGGTGATAGAAATGTATCAGCCTCAGAAGCTACTGAGGTGGCCCATGCTATCCTAGGATATTGTGGAGAAAACATTAATCTCTGAGAGGGAGGGAGAGATTGGGACTTAGCCTGATCTTGGGTGAGATCTTTTGAGGAGACTTGAATCTGTGATGGCATTGAGAATAGGTTTAGAGTAAAGCTGGGTTTGGGAATTTCTCTGTTTATCCTAATAATGAACTTCTTTCCTCTCCTGGGAAAATATAGTCCCAAACTGTCTTTGTTAATTTTAAATCTGTTAGTAGGTATAGACTTGACTTTTTCTTCAGATCAGGACAGGTGGACTTTCTGAGTCAGTCTGAGTAATGTTGATGCACTTTCCATTGCCTTGGAGAGGACTGGACTACAAGATTAGGTTTCTGAGAAAAGGTCAGAGTAGGCCAAGGAGCTGTGATAGCCTTCCCATCCATTTATCTATCCAAGGACTTTTCCTGGTCTTTTTAACCTAATAATAACACAAAGCGAGTTTTTTATTGGACATCAGTTAGGGTCAGTTGCCAGTTTTCTGCTGCTTAACCTAGTTGTAATGGAGCTCAATATTCTGGACCAACATTTTCTGAGTTGTTCCTGGCTGTTCCCACTGTCCAGCCACTCAGGGAGGACCAGCTTGTTCCCCTGTAAGCCCAGAACTTGGACCTGATAAATGTCTGTTTAGTTCAATTGGGTTTGGGCCTGACACAGCTACATTTCAACAGTTCGAGCACGGAAGCTGCACAGAGTGAAGATGCGCACACACTTAGGGCATTGTTTATGTCACCCCTAAACTTAGGTTTTATTCCAGGATGCAGTTATTTGTAGAATGGTCCACAAAATCTCAGTAAATTAAAAAAAATAAAAAAGGAATGTGTCTAATTGTGGCCTGACTTTTTTTTTTTTTTTTTTTTAAACAGCCACTCAGGGAGGACCAGCTTGTTCCCCTGTAAGCCCAGAACTTGGACCTGATAAATGTCTGTTTAGTTCAATTGGGTTTGGGCCTGACACAGCTACATTTCAACAGTTCGAGCATGGAAGCTGCACAGAGTGAAGATGCGCACACACTTAGGGCATTGTTTATGTCACCCCTAAACTTAGGTTTTATTCCAGGATGCAGTTATTTGTAGAATGGTCCACAAAATCTCAGTAAATTAAAAAAAATAAAAAAGGAATGTGTCTAATTGTGGCCTGACTTTTTTTTTTTTTTTTTAAATAGTGTAATAACAGCCAGTGAAACTGGTTGTCAAGGGGGATTACATTTTCTGGATTTAGCCTTGTGCCAGGATTGAATAGTGTCACCTTTCAGACCGTGTGTAAAAGTCCAAGGCAAACTAGTCCGCTTTTAAGTTTGGGTTTTTCTCATTCGTATTTTCCCTAGTGGTGTAGAAGCAATTATGTGTTTGGTTTCAAAGAGGTTCTCTGTGCAGGTTATAAGCGGAAACAGTGTTAAACATTAATAACAAGAACTCAAGAAAAAGCTGATAGATTATAATGTAGATAAAGTGGATAAAAACCCATGGTAGATAATTAAAAATTGAATAATGAATTGGTTTTGAGTTAACCACTCAGTCTGGACCACGTTCCCTCACTGATAGCTAAAAGTCCCCATCCCTCATTTTCCTGCCTCCCTTCTTCCATTCACATTTCAGCTAAACAAGGTATTTACTTGGTTTTCCCAAATTTCTAAATACCTTCACCATGAAGTTTTAAACACTATTATATTTGAAGTCTTAAGTTGTGCCCTGTGGGATCAGTAGAAGGAAGACTAATGTTCCCTTGTAGAGGGGCTTGGAGTAGTTTGTCTGTGAACTCCTCTGTTAACACACTGTAAATATCTTTCTCTGCAGACAAAGAAATACGCTGATGTGATAATTCCTAGAGGTGCAGATAATCTAGGTGAGTCCCACTGGGGTGTCATCCTGTGGTGCATAATTTCTGCCATTTGTCAGTCATAATTTGGAGCAGGATGTGGTGATAAACAGGGCTCTGGAGACCTGGCTGCACCACTAGAGTGCAATTGTGAGCCAGAAAAGCATTGCCACCTACACGTCTGGCCTTGGGGACAGGCCTCTGGGCCTGTGGACATGTATGTACTGCAACTGATGCATACTTGTACTTCTCTAGCAGAAATAGAGGGCTGTAGGCTATCTTCTGTCAGTCCCCAATGATGACACTTGGATACCTTACATCTGAGGCCAACTTTGAACAAAAGCAGATTTCTTCCTTTGATCTCAAATTCGGAATAACCTGCCATCACGTTAGCCCTTAAGGGAGCTGGTCGCTACCATTATTGTATTTATTTCTTTGTTTTGGCTTGTCTGGGAAATAGGAATATCTCTGAACTAGCATGATATGGTAGAGTTGATCTGTAGGATAGGACTCTGTCTTCTCATCCTAATTTATTTCATTTTTCCTCCATTTAAAAAGCTTCTTTATTTTCTGAGCTGTTTGAGAGTAAGTCACAGTGGTGAATATTTCACTGTTTTTTTTTCTTTTTGTTTGCTAAGGGGATCCAAACCCTTGACCTTGTTGTTATAACACCTCACTCTAACCAGCTGAGCTAACTGGCCAGCCCTCACTGTATATTTTTTAAGAACAAGGACATTCTCATTTATAACCACAGTGCAGTTATCAGATTCAGGAAACTTACGTGATATATTCTCCTTTCACCTGGAGATGTTCCTCAGCCTTTCTTTGTTTTTCATAGCATCAACGTTTTTGAAGAGAACAGACCCATTGTTTGGTAGAATGGCCCTCAACTTGGGTTTGTCCCCTGTTTCCTTGTGATTGGATTCAGCTCATACAGTCTGGAGGAATGCTCTAGGAGAGATGCTGTATTGTGTTCTTTGTGTACCACATCAGAAAGCACTTGATGTTTATTCCATTTTTGGTGATGTTAACATTAATCATTTGTTTGAAGTGTAGAGTTTATTTCTAATGCTAATAAAAGATAGCTCCACTTCTATTTTTGAGGGGAGGAGAGGGCTTTTATGACGTTCTATCTCAGGATGGGAAGCTGGCAGGTGCCCTAGTGGAAAGGTCTCAGAGCTAATTGGTGGTGTCAAAGCCATAGCTGGTCATTAGGTCTGCAGAATGTTGATCGATTGCCTTATCTAGGGCTGATTCTGATCATCTCCTGATAATAAGCCCATTCATTAAGGGCTTACTCTGTTGCTGGGCATTGCCTCTCCCACTCCTTAGAACTCTCTTGCGAGGGAAATCATGCTATTCCAGTTGGAGGCACTGGGAAGTTGAGTGACTGACTTTGCCCCTGGTTCCTGCATGCCCTTCCTCCCAGACAGACACAGGCTCACAGCCCTGCACCTGTGCTCCACCCCTCTCTCCTCATACCCTTAACACTCTGCTGGTCTCTGCCCCACAGTGGCCATCAACCTCATTGTGCAGCACATCCAGGACATCTTGAATGGAGGGCTCTCCAAACGGCAGACCAACGGCTATCTCAATGGCTACACCCCTTCACGCAAGAGGCAGGCGTCGGAGTCCAGCAGCCGGCCGCATTGACCCTTGTCTCCTTCAGACCCCAGCCCCTAACTCCAAGAGACAGAGGAGGGGTCAGGAGGCCCTGTTCATCTGTACATAATGTTTCCTATGACATTACTGTATTTAAGAAAACACCATGAAGATGAAATGCCTTTTTTTTTTTTCTTTTTGTACTTTGAAACAGCAAAATGAAACAGAACTTGACCCCGAGCTTACATGACAGACTGTGCCAACTACTACTGGTGATGCCTAATTATGAATCCAATGTGTATCCAGTTATAAATACATACATACATACATATATATATATATACATATATATATATAAAGGATCTATTTTTGCGTAAATGTACAAAAACTGTAAAGCTGTTTGCCGTAAGTATTTTGCAGGAGGGCCTGTACTTGAGTGTTTTGTGACTGGAGCTGGAGTTTCACCAAGGGGAAATTGCCTGTTGTGTTTGAGGTGGGGCAGGCTCAGGCATCTGTGGGGGACGGAGTGCAGGACGGTGGCTACTGTCCCATTGCTCTGAGTACCTGTAGAGCTCAATGGGAATGGGATTTGAGACCCTCGACTGCCTCCCCTGTCAGATGCTGGAGCTTAATCACGCGTCTCTTGTCTTTTTTTGAGTTGAGATTAGGCAAGACCTCAACTCAAAAATCAAACTCAGGGAAGAGGCCCACTGAGAAGAACAAGCCTTCTGCATTTTGTTCTTGCCCTGCTCCCCATCCCTGGCTGCTTGGCTAGCTCGGTGCCTCCTCCCTGACTCTCCTGCTTGTCTGCCTCTCCACAAAGCCAGAGCTGCCTCTTTCTCCTTCCCTGGCAGGGACTTTATGGGATCACTTCCTGGTAGAAATAGAAAAGGAGGGAGTAGAGCTGTGCCTGCTCTAGTGACTGAGGAAGCGCTGGTGCCTTCTGCCTCCCAGGGAAGTAACTGGTCAGATCCCTTGGGCTTTTCTTTCGGGGAGGAATACAGTGTGGCCCCTCACAGGCTGGGCTTTGGTCAAGGACTTCTGGTAACTGCCAGCTGGCAGCCCCATACAGGGTGGCAAGAGAGCTCTTGCCTGCGTAGGGGCAGTTGCTTTTATTCACCAAAACATGGGGGTTTGCAGTGAGACGAGTTTAACATGCACCTTTTGTCTGGAATTCTCTCTGGTAGCATCCCAGCCAGGAGGACTGACTGACTTACAGTATGGCTGAGTGCAGATGGCGGCAGCTGAGCATTAAGGGGTGAGGGAAAGGAAAGTATTTTTTTAAAAGTATTTAAAAGGAGAGTATTTAAATCATGGGTACCTGAGTTGGAATCTCAGGTTGAGAACATGGGGTGGAGATTTCCAGCTCTCCTAAGAGCTTCCTGTTGGTGGAAACATCTCTGGAAAAAGGACAGATTCCTGACCTCCTGGGTGGGAGAGTGGAGGAAGGAGGGGACTAGGCAAGACAGAGGAGTTACACAGAGAGGGCGAAGCCTCGGTTCCTAACTGCAGAAGAGCCAGAGGTTTTCATCTCGCAGTGCTGGGGGGGCCACGCCCCTCGTTACTTCCCTGTGGCTGCCACTGTCTGGAACATTTTGGAGAACCTTCTTCCACTGCTCTCAGAGCCTGTTTGAGCCATTCAGGTAAATCTGACTCCGTTACTATCTAGTTACACCAAATTCCCCCTCAGACTCAGCACCATCTAGTCTGACTCCCTTTTTCTGGGCTTGATTTGACTCTAAATCTTTTTTGTTTTGTTGTCTCAAAAAAGTAAAATCTCATCCCCGACAGAGCCTTGCCACCCCTGAGACATTCAGGAGAGTGCGCTGCAGGCTCCGAAGGGTGCTCCCAATGACAGCAGCCATCTGCTGGGAGCAAGGGAAGGGGCCCCCAAGGTGCCTTCTTTGAAAGCCGGTACTCACCGGGATGGGTAAGTTCCGGAGTGTGTTTCAGGATCAGTCTTTATTATCTCTGTAGTCATACCTTGTACAGTTCTGAGATGAAGGGTGGATGGCAGGCCTGGGTTAGGATCCTGAGGGCACAGGGGCCCCTGGCCTTGATGGGGTCTTTGTGTGCTCAGGTGAAGCCCATTCCTGTCTGGGAGAGCCTCGGCCTTTCCATGGGCAGCATGCTCAACTTTACTTGAAGCTCCCAGGTGCCAAACCATTTAGTGCCTTGGCTGTCTGTTCCACTGCCTTGGAAGACGGATTCTTCTCATCTCTGAGCCTTTACTTACTTCACCGCTTCCTCATCTACCTGTGGTGTTGGGACCAAGGCTCCAGTATCTCTGAGTAGCCCACTTCTAGCTTGGAAACAGCTCCAGGGCTGCCCTGCCCCCTTGTACAGTGATCACTGGTTCTTGGTGACTGTCTGGGGCACGGGGCAGTACCTGCTGGGTTCTGTGACACATGCGTCTGGGGCAGGAAAGGGATGAGGGTCTCTACTCCTCTGTGGCAACCCAGTATTTAGCCAATTTGTGTATCTGAACTTTGAGCTTTCTGTAGGACAAATCGTGGTCTTAGTTTTTTAGGAACCTCTGAATTTCGGATTCCATTGGAGAGTCAGGGGTGTAATTATTAGACCAGAAACCATGACATTTGTCATCTAGATACTGTTTGCTGCTCAGGGAGGAGGCACAGATGAGCAGAGTGGGGCAGTGTTGGTTCTTTGTGCATGGAGTCCCTTGGCTTCAGAGCCACCCAGCGGTGCTTGCTTCTCTCTCCCTGCTCAGGGACGGTCTGTGCACCCAGTGTTCAGGAAACACACATCCACGCGTGGTGCTGTGGGAAGGTCTGGCCTCACACTCCTCCACACTCAAGGGACTTCCGCTGGCCCAGGTTTCTTACTCTCAGGCAGTCTGAGACCAGTCTGAGCAGAGAGATGGGGGTCTGTTTAAGAAGGATGCAAGTGTTGTGACCTCAGGTGTTCTTTGATTCAGAGTGGATAGGATAGACCCTTGAAGAGGCAGTGGATTAAAGGATGGGATCTCTGTAGAACAGGCCAGGAGAGGAGCGGAAGGGAGGAATCTCCAGTTCACCTTTCCTGAGAACTGACCTAATCGTCCCCGCCCCTGATCTTGGCTGCTCAGACTCATGGGGCCGTCCTGGGCTGGGAATTGGATACTTGTCACCATGCCCATGTGGGGATTGCCAGTATCTCATTAGGCCACTGGGTTAGGCTGGAGGCTTGCAGAGCAGTTGGGAAGCAGGAGGGGTTGAGCTGGGTTGGTTCGTATATGACCTCCCTGGCTGTCCTTGTGCACTTCCCTTGATTAGCACCCTTGACCTGCACTAGCACCCAAGGGTACTGGAGGGAAGTAGCCCCTGTAGGGAAATATTTTCCTCTGCCCTGGAGTCACCTATGTTCCTGTCACAGATCCCAGGGCGTGGGCCGGCTCAGGCGAGGCTAGGGTAGGGTCTGGGGAACAGGACTGCTTCTGAGAAGGACCAGCTGGACTTGTCCTTTCCACTTTTCTCAGAGTGGAGTGAGGAAAACATTCTTGGTTTCAGACAAAACAAGGAAGAGACAGGCTGGGAAAGGCATGATTGGGATGCATCTGGAGCTCAGAGTCCCCTTTACTCTTCTGTCTCCGGACCTTCTGCTGCCCTCCTGTGCCAGGGGACTGTATTGCAGATCAGCTTGTTTGCTGCTCTCAGGGGCAGTGAGTGCCTACCCCGTCCTGCCTCAGGAACAGGGTGAGTGGCTAAATAGAGACTTAGGCTTTTTTCCCCCTCTTTAAAATGCTCCCTCTACCCCTCCACCCCTTTTCTTTTTTACTGCTCTTCCTTTACTGTTAGTAGTTAAAAAATGACCACATATTATGTACTTTGCTGTAAATAAAGACTGAACAAAAAAGATCCAACTCTCGCCTTGTCTGTGGTGCTTGGTCGTGAGCAGCAGCCGAGGCCCGTGGCCTCAAGGAGGCTGGAGTGTCTCAGGGAGGGGTAGTGCCTTGCGTTTGCGGAGTAGACGTGCTCATTTACCTGCTGCTGTTAAGCAGGAGCCTGGGGCACGTGTGGGGCCAACCCCAGACCTCAGCTAGGTTCGGATGCTGTTAAAGAGTAGCCAACCTGCATTTCTCCTCATCACGGGGAAAGCCGGGCCAAGGGTTCTGGGAGGCTTTGGTTCTTGGGACATTCTGGCTCTGTGTTCCCTGATGTCATCCAGTTTACACAGTCTCCTCCCCCACTGCCTTCCCTGGGCCACTCACGCAGCCCCTTCCTCAACTTCCATATTAAAAGCTAAAACAAAACCTAGAGTAAACTTGAGAAGTGTGGGCAGTGGATGGTGGGAAGTTTATGTTATAACAATGTAAACAATTTCAAGTTGAGTACAGGAACACTTTGTACTCTGGAATGAATGAATGTAAATATAAACAGGGTCTTCAAAAAATTCATGGAAAGATTTGTATTGCCTTTTTTTTATCCTCTTATATAAAGATGACCGGTAAGGGGATCTTAACCCTTGACTTGGTGGTGTCAGCACCACGCTCTCCAAGTGAGCCACGGGCTGGCCCTTATTGCCTTTTAATTCCATTTTTCTGTGAGATTTTCGAAGTACCCTCTTACGTCTATCTCTGTTTCTTTTCTTTTTTTTTTTTTAAAAGATGACCGGTAAGGGGATCTTAACCCTTGACTTGGTGGTGTCAGCACCACGCTCACCCAGTGAGCTAACCAGCCATCCCTATATGGGATCCGAACCCGTGGCCTTGGTGTTATCAGCACCGCACTTTCCCGAGTGAGCCACAGGCTGGCCCCTATCTCTGTTTTTAAAAGACGTGGTCACCCACCACCAGGGACTTAAAAATAATTGGTTTTTGTGCTCTTCTACTCTTTCCTCTTTGACATAGGCAAACCCATCTAGGAGTCTGGCAGATCTTTTAACAGGATCCACCCTCGGAAGGCTGTTGTGTTTTTATTTTTATTTTTTTTAACATTTGATGTGTTTTGTTTCTGTTTTTTTAAATTGAATCCTAATAGATTATACATACTTTTGGGATTCAATGTTGACATGTTGATCAAATCAATATTACTAGTATGTATATTGTTACAAATTGTACTTTTTCCTTATGCCCCTTGTCCAATCTCTCCCTATCTCCCTCTCCCTCCCCCTCCCACCTCTGATAACCCTAGATTTCTTCTCTCCCTCTGAAAGAGTAATGGTTACTTTGTTGATTTGTTGTCTAAATGATCTGTCCAATGCTGAGAGGTGTGTTCAGGTCCCCCCATATTATCATAGAGCAGATGCTTCTTCTGTCACTCTGGAATGGGCTTTATGGAGAGAGACATCCTCTTCTTTTCTTTGGTCTCTGCTGGTGACTCTCCATGTGTTGATGCACTCCAGTGGCTGGCGGACCATCTGCATGGTGGTTGTGACATCTAGCCACTTTTGCGGCAGCTGTGGTTACTGTAGTGGCTGTGATCGGCCACCCACACAGAGGTGAGGTTTTTGGCATGCTCCTTGGCGCTGGTGGTGTGCCTGGTTGTGGGCAGGGGGTCTGGTCCCTGGCTCCATGTCCTGGGCCCCCAGGAGGGACCCTGAGGCGCTGGTGGTGTGCCTGCATGTGGGAGTGGTGTCTGGTCCCCGGCTTCAAGCCTCAGGTCTCCTGGTGGTCCCCTAGGCACTGGTGGTGTGCCTGCATGTGGGAGTGGTGTCTGGTCCCCGGCTTCAAGCCTCAGGTCTCCTGGTGGTCCCCTAGGCACTGGTGGTGTGCCTGGGCTGGAACTAATATTTTGTCCTTTCCTTCTAAAATGAGGGAACTTCCTGTGGGAACCAGTACTTGAGCTGTGTGGTTGAGCTAAATTGCTGTTTTTGCTGCTTTTTCCCTAGGGAAGGCTTTTTGTGCAGCTCAGGGTTTAATTATTGACCTTATAGGTACTTCTGGCTCTCCAGAGACTTGGTGCACCTGGGTTGTGTAGAAACACAGATCTGGGCCCGAGTTTTTTCATCAAACTATACCCCATGCAATTCTGTATTCCTGACCAGTCTCCTCTGAGTGGTCCTGCACTGATTGGGGGAGGATCGGCTGTCCTTGCTGTGTCCCAGTGTTCTCCTGGTGGGCCCATCTCCCCCACCACCCTTGCTCCAAACACTTCCCATGGGACAGGCCTTGCGCAGGTCCCTTGGGATGACTCACAGGCCTCTGAATGGCTCCCCTTTTTCAGCTGTTCTGGCTCCTCACTCCTGCGTGGGTCCCCACGGGAATCCTATTAGTGGTCTTGCTGTCCTGGGGGCCACCAAGGACCTTTTCTCCCTTGCCACCTCCAAGCAACTCCATCTGAATGGCATAACTGCAGCTTCTGCCGGCTCCTGCTGCATGCACTCAGCATTTCCAGCCTTAAAGCGACTGTAGCATGAAATGCTCCGAGCAGTTTTTTCTTTCTCTCATGGTGGTTTCTCCTGCCTTCATGAACTCTGTAGGTCTCTCTTCCTCTTCCCCTGAGCTCTAGCAGCCCCAGCTTAGCTGTTGTTACATTTTTTTTTTTTTAAAGATGACCGGTAAGGGGATCTTAACCCTTGGCTTGGTGTTGTCAGCACTACGCTCAGCCAGTGAGCGAACCGGCCATCCGTATATAGGATCTGAACCCATGGCCTTGGTGTTGTCAGCACCGCACTCTCCCTAGTGAGCCACGGGATGGCCCTGTTGTTATATTTTTATAGTTTTAAATTGGTTGATTTCTGCAAGAGAGTGATGCTGGGGACTGCCATCTTGACTGGAACCCAGGCTGCTGTGTTTTTAAATAACACTCAGGTGCCTGTACAAGAGCTGGTACTGTCAAGCATTACTACCATCTGCAAGGTGAAGTCATTGTGGGTACAGAGTAATGGGACTTGCCTGATGTCACACAGGTTGTGGTTCTGCAAGCTGGTGCTTAGGTGTGGTCCAGTTTCCCTCTGCAGTGCAAACGCATCTTCCCAATTCCATGTAGACCACCTCTGGACTTCAATGCTTCACTTGGGACTCCGCTCAGTCTTCACAGCTCAGTCCGGAAACTTTGTTGTAATTGGAGGGATGGTGGTGCCGGCCAGGGAAGCCCCTCAGTGGATTTGCCTCATCTTCTCACCCTTCTGTCACAACATCCTCTGAGCCAGCCTCTGCTCCACTACTAGGAAGAGACACCTGTTCATCCAGTGCTGCTTTAATCAAACCATTAATTGGAGCAGATTAACAGAAACCTGTAAGGACCTGCTTAAATGTTTTTAATGAGAGAGTTGGAAAAGGAGACTTGGGATATGGGAAAGTCTGCTTTGGGAGGATGGAACCAGAGAGATGGACCTCTTATCATTTGGTGCTGGGGATGTTTAGATTTCTATTTTAAAGCAGAGTTTAATCAGATTGTTTTCTAAACCCAGAATGAAGTAAAGCCACTTGCTAGATTTTAGCATGCACTTACATATATTTTCAATAAGCTATGAATTAAAATAACAAAATGACCTAGTGAATCACTTTGAGTTAGGACTAAATTCAGAAGTATATTCTCAACTAAGTGGATGAAGATAAGGGGCAGGAGAACAAAATTGTGCCTTATACAAGCTCATTTTTCACAGAGTCGAATCCGTGCTTGGCACTGCCTTTTTATGCTGAGGATTTGTTTGGACGAGATCAGTGGTGCCCAGGATGAAATGGTGAGGGATTCAGTGCGGTGTTCATGAGTTTTTACTGTCCTGGTCCAGAGGATGCCAGCATGGCCTCTGCCTAAATAGCTCACGTGTCATGATGGGTTTTTTTTGCTGAAAAGCCCAGGATTCTGTCACAAGATAATTATAATTGTGATGTTCTCAAGATTCCTCTTTATCAGTGCCATATACTTTCTGTCCTGTTCATGAAATCCACAACTTCCATTGTAATGTTCACATTCGACTTTTCCAGCCTTCGTTGCGCTTTCACTTAGCTACATTTTATCCTTACAACAGCCCTGCAAAGTATGTGAGGAATGTCGTCGTGCTCCAGTTTTATTGAAGAGGAAACGGACTTAATCCAAAGCAACAACTGTGAAGTAGGACAAGCTGTGTAGTGAGGTTGTCTGATGTGTGTCTGCCATCTAGTGGTGGGATTCAGATCGCAACAGGAGGATTGCCTTGGGTTGTGAGACGAAACGTCATTTGCTTGGCTACCCTGGTTCCTAAGAGCTGTGTCAGAGTGCCTCCTAGAAGTCTACTCATGTGATTTCTCATTTGTTTTCTAGAAAATCTTTATGAAAGCCTTCACTAGGGAAGATAGAAGCTGACCCTCTTAATTTCTTCTAATTTTCTGTAGTGGTTCCACAAGCTGCCCCTCATAATCAGTGGGAGGCTTGTTAAAAACATTACTGGGATCCATTCCTGAGAATGCTAATTCTTTAGGTCTAGAGAGGAAATCTTATAACAAACTATAGGTGAGTCAGATGCATAGGCAGGGTTGGAAACCAGGTGCCTTGTGAATTTAATCATGTAGATTATTAAAATCTGTGGTGTTCATAGCACTGGGGATCTTGTTTTTCCCAGAAATTTCCTATGTATTGTTTAATACATGCATGGAGACTGGAAAGCAGGTTTTGAAACTTCCCTCAAGCCCATTCAAGGCCAGCCTGCTCTCTAAGGTCGTCAGTCCCCAATAGTCACTGGGCTGTGATTTCCCTAGGAAAGTGCCTTAGAATGTTTGCCAGAGCTGGGTAAGGATTTATTTATTTAGCCAGTACAAAGATTGAACCCCAGATCTTGTGTTATCAGCACCACATTCTAACCAACTGAGCTAACCAGCCAGCTGAGCAAGGCTTTAGAAGTCATCTAGTCCAGTGGCCTTCAAATATGTTTTAATCATGAGCCATTCATGAAATTCTACTTGAAGTCTATATTGCTAGGGCTAGGGCTCTCAGACCTCTC